TCCTTCGGCCATGCGTACACAGTGGGGCAACAAAAGGTGAGCGTTCGCCTCGGGTACGAGGCACCGTCAGCGAAGTCCGACGAGCCCCGAGCGACGGGAGTCGACGGATGGAAAAGATTGCGTGGCTCACTGTCCGCTGTCCCGGAGAGTATCGGCCCGCTCCCGACGCAGCGCGTGAAAACCTCTCGGGAGACTCCGCGCACGGGGCCACAGTCAACATCGGCTACCTGGTGAGGGGGTTAAACATCTCCTCCGCTCTCCCAGCGCAGCGGAGGAGGAGAGACATGTCGGGACATGAGAACGGCAGAAAAGGCGGCAAAGCCCGCGCAAAGGCAGCGGGCTAGCCTCAATTCCCACAAGTCAGAGTTTCGCGGCAAGGGCGGAGAAATGAATGCAATAACAACTATTCTTGGAATGTAACGCTGTTGGAATGTAATGTAACGGCAAGCAGATCGAAACGTGCAGTGCGCTGCTCACGCACAAACGGCACAAGAAAACAACATACACAGGACAAGATGGAACTAACAACATTTACCGCTCGACAGTTAACACGCTGCTTAAACAAAAAGTAGGCTTGAAGCATAATCACAGGTACAGATATGAGGGCCGCGTCCGGCGGGCACGTGGGCCCGCCGGACGCGGCCCACGTGCCCGCTGCTGCCGCTTCGTCAGCGGCGGGGCAGCCTCGAAAGATGCATGCTCGTACCAAAATGCGAAGCGAAATTCCTCGATTGATCGTGGGGAAAATTCGTTATATCAAGGTTGTCTCCCCCTGTTACTTTGTTACACAGAGGTCGCAAACACATGTGGTTATATGGAGCGACGGCGGGGAATGAAAAAACTTCATTATATCGAGGAATTCGTTATATGGAGGTTCGTTATCAGCAGGTTTAGCTGTACTTTGTTTAATGTAGTGGTACATTTTCTCATGTATTGATGAGGGACATTAAAGGGAAAAAGTCAGTTAGTTTTGACTGATAATATATTCTCTGGAAACTCTAGTCCCACTAATTACACCACCATAAGTCTAGTTGTAGGCGAGAAAATGGTCGTCAAAAGTTCACTTAAATTTCCTGCACAAATATTGGATTTTGCCGTCACGGGTTTCAGGATTTTTTTTTATTTCAGCTGAATTCACTCGACCAAATTTTCTTAAACTTAGTATGTCAAGTCTCCGGCTTTTTCAGAATACAGTATGTTCTATTTTTAGCAATTAAAAGCAAAGTTAGGCCCCAGTAGACCCCGTCAAGATCTATGATGTCACGGTTGAAGGTGAAGGTGGTGTTGTCACCCACATTTGCTTTTCTGGCGTTTTCTCGCTTACCAAAAGTCTTCTCACAGTAAGCGGGAAGGGGGGGGGTGGGGGGTGTTGTATCGTGAGGGAGCAATACAGTAAGTACAAGAAAGTTCTCTTTAGAGTCTTTTCGAAACATTGATGTGTTTGGAAGTAGTTTAATTGCAACAGAGTTTGATGTGGTGGGTTTTGACTCTGTCAGACTCAATATAGTCATAGCTCTGCCGGCTTTTTACAGCGAAAGCTGTTACGAGATCACATCAAGGGTTGTTTTTGATGCTGTAGTTGTTGGCCACCGCCGGTATCCGTAACCGCCGTGGCTCGAAATACGAAAAAAAACCTAAATAAATGGAAAAAATTCCGGAGACAGAATGGAATTCGAACCCAGGCCCTGTGCAGGACAGCGCAGTAGTCTACTCAGAGCTATGCGAGTGCTTGAAACTGACCTTAGGCTGGCTTCATGTCGGAGGAGTCACGTTATTATCTGTAATAAAGCATTTTAGAACAGCAAAGCAACAACCAGGCGTCTCACAATACGAATTGCATAATGAGCGTGTGTTGTCCAATGCTCCAACTCGTTACAAAAGCCTCGAGCATAATCTTTCATTGTCGTCAGCCACAGCATCAACGTAATGCACGTAAATCCTTGCAACTGTGTAGCAGGTACCACAGTTCTCTGAAGAATGAAGAACAATGGCACAGTGGACATTTCTCTACTACACCAAAATTATGATTTATGGCGTAGTGGTGGTGGTGGTGAAAAACATTTATTTAAAAAAAGAGAGGTGTAAGACCCCATCAGAGGTTTCTACAGACTAGGTGAAGTCTCTATTCTGGGACCCCACTGGTTGAAGCCTCCGTCCTGGCTCTCTGGACTAAGGCACGCTGGGCCTGAAGGTCGGAGCAGCCAAGCAGGGCCGCCTCTCAGTCCTCTCGCCTAGGGTTTTGACTAGGAGTAATGGCTACGTTATCTTGGCAGGCCCACACCATGTGGTAGGTGTCTGCCAGCTCCCCACAGTGCTGGCACTCACCTGTGACTGTAGGGTCGAAATTCTTTACTATGGCAAGACATAGCAGTGTATTAGTCTGGAGGCGAAGCAAAATGCACTCCTCTGCTTTTTTAAACCCCCTTGCTGGGGGCAGCCTCATTTCCCCGCAATTCCTGATGGTCCGGTGTCCGTATAATGCGTTTCGGATGAGAGTTCGTGTCTCTTCTGCAGTTGTGTAGCACAGTAAAAGCTCGTTAATTCGGATTTCACGGGACCGGAAAAACTGTCCGAATTAACCGAATGCCAAATTAACGAATGAACAGGCAAAACAACATTTAAAATCAAGCTGTAGAAGCATACCTTTATTTGTTGAAGTATTTTGTAATTGTCGTCTGCGTTTTTGCGCAGATTCCGGCTGACATCACAATTTTTCTTAACTGTTCCAAATGGCCAACAGCACGCAAGCTGTCGGGAGTGTTCAGGCAAGCATCCTCTAATATTAACAGCGCCTCCGAGACTTCCCGTGAGGTGCGATGAGGTCGCGGCTGTATCTCCTCGCATGATTCTTCGTCGGAATCGTGGTCTTCATGGGCGCCCGTGACATCATTAATAATCTCTTGATCAGTCAGGAGACCACTCGTGGTGACACCATGATCAATCGCGATGTAGTCCTGAAAGGTCACATCTGTGGGAAGGACAGCATCGAAAATCGGGCAGTCATCGTCGGTGGACTCGGCTCACACCTCCTCGATGCCATCGTCAGCTACTGCTGCATGCTCGGGCCTCACAAAACCGCTGTGCCGAAAATAGTTGGCGATGACTTGCGGCGGAGTGTTTTTCCACACTTGGGCGATGATGTGCACTGCGCCGAGTAAGTCCACTTGATACAACTTTCCAGCTTCTGAACATAGGATCATTCGCTCTAGCAGGTGCTTGCGGTACTTCGACTTCACGTAGTGAATGGTACCCTGGTCCATCAGCTGAAGAGCATACGTAGTGTTGGGCGGCAAAAAAACTACTTTGATGCTCTTCAGTTCAACTGTACAGTTATGGGCACTGCAGTTGTCAACAACCATAATTATCTTGCGGTCCTTCGACGTGAAGTGCCGGTCCAACTGCTGCAGCCAGCCGCGAAAAATGTCCAATGTCATCCATGCCTTCCTGTTCGCTGTGTACTCGACAGGAAGACTTTCGACGTTCTTAAAACAACCGTGGCTTAAGCGCCTTCCCGACGACAAGTAGTGGCAAGCGCTCCGTGCCAGTCATATTGGCGGCAAGAAGCACAGTTATCCTTTGCTTGCACTTCTTGCCACCAATGCACGCGTCCCCTTTGAAAGTCACCGTCTTGTCGGGCAGAGGTCTGAAAAATAGAGCAGTTTCATCTGCATTGAACACGTCACGTGGTTCATATGCGGCAATGTGCTCCACCAGCTTCACATTTCTCCGCTCGGTGGTCACGCTTTCGTCAACACTGGCCTTTTCGCCGCACACACTCCTGAAGACAAGTTCGTGTCTCTCTCGAAACCTCGCAAACCACCCTTCTGACGCTTTGAATGATTCAATGTTCATCATTGCAGCGTACTTGTCACCTTGCGCCATGATGAGAGGTCCGCTCAAAGGCAGATGCGCGTTGCGACAGTCAGTAATCCACCGGAGCAAAGCTTCTTCGAGCTGCGGTTCGCAACCGCTTTCTAGAGGCATGAAACTTCTCGCTTTCGAAGGCTTGTCGAATCTGTTGTTCATTTTTCACATACGTTCCCCACGTGCTCCACTTCACGTTGTACTACTTGGTTATAACCTGCTGTCGCGATTCGCCGTTCTTCAGTGCTTCCAAAATTTCCACTTTAGTCGCCAAGTTCTTCGCGTCGTAGTTCTGCCGCTTTTTCGGCGTTGTCATCACTGTAGCGCACGATGGTGGTGGCATGCAAATACAGTCACAATGGAAGAAAAAGAGAACTCCGCAAGAAGAGATGGTTCCGACACGACAACACAAGGGAAAATGGCGTCGAAGGCGCTGAGTGGAGAAGAAAGAAGACGCCGACGTTCGGTGACGCTGCGATCGCCCCCACTAGTTTATGATGATGGCGATGCCACTCAGGTTTCGGTTTCACTCCAGTGGTGCCAGCGCTGCTTTATCACACTTTTGTGTAGCAGCAGCCGTCAGCATTTGTCCGAATTAAGCGGTGCGGAGCCGAATTCCGCCGAAATAACGAAGGTTTGGTCCCATAGATTAACATGCACTTTTGCCGAGACCAATAGAGCCGTCCGAATTTCCGAGTTAACGGGTGTCGAATTAACAAGTTTTTACTGTATTGTCTCGGCTAATGGTGATATGTACCCGGCTATACAATCACGACAGGCTCGGCGCGAATCCTTGATAATATGCCGGGAATTACTGTGAAAGGACGCTAAGGCAATGGCGACCTCCTCGGCCTGTGTTACAGAATACGCCCTGAAGGTTAACCCATCCACCTGTGTGCCTTTGTGAATGGCAGCCACTGTGTACCACCCCTTGGAGTTGGGGCCAGCAACGTCCACGTAGTGCACACCTGGCTTACCCTGCAAGTGTGCTTGTAGCAGTTATCCGAACAGTGTTTAAAAAAATGATCTGAAAGGCCACTCTTCTAGCTTTACCTGCGACTGTGCTGCGCAGGCCTGTCGGCGTTCTTTAAAAGGCTCTCAGCTTTTTTTTTTTTTTTTAATCGCGTTTTGCTCAGGTCCCGGACGGCTTGGAGCCCGGTCTGGACGACAAGCAGATGACGCGACTTTTGGGGCTCGCGTTCGATGACGACGCACCCGCGTCTCCGCCGGTTTCGGCCACTCCCCAGCCATCCCAGCAGCAGCTGCAGCCACAGCAACAACAACAACGACCGCAGCAGCGCATTTCCCGGACACAGCTGCACATTCTAGACTTTGGCCCCGAGGAGCACCACCGGCGGCTCCAGAAGCAAGCCGAGTCCAACCCGTACCACAAGTTTGTCCAGGGCAACCTCATCCTCAAGCAAGGTCTCGTCGACAAGCGCAAGGCAAGGACGCCCCTCTTCGGCGCACTTTATACGTTTGAATGGTCCTTTCATGCACTTGGATACTTGTAGTTTTTCAATCCTTCTAGTATTTTATGCTATGCTTGTAACCCTCTTCGACGCGACGCACAAAGAACTGTGTGTAAATGCGTCATATTGATGCACCTTTATTTCAAGACATTTGATAAGATGTCGCCACGAAAATGGCATGCATTATGTGTTGCAGTAATTACTTCCAATTTAATTGTAATTAATTATTATTCTGAGTTCATTCATGCTCTGTATTCACTTTAATAAGATGTAATCTCTGGCTATTCTGCAAATCTGTCCTTAGTTATGTACATTTCTGAGCCAAAAAAAATGGTACTTTTGACATGGGAAGCTCACGCGGAGCGGTATGTCGAACAACTCGTCAAACATCTAATGCCATTATCAAAGTGATCAGACGCAACTGTACACTGCAAGATCAGGACAATTTTACTATGCACGAGGCTCATTTCATCCAAAGCTTAATGTGTATCTGATTCTTAGTTAGCCCCTGGTCGAGTGGTGTGCACAATTGTGTAAATAGTGTCTAAAATGGTCAGAATTAGTAGCACAGCAGCTTTTCAGTAACGACTATGGCTAGTGCAGTTAAAGTGACACTGAAGAGCAAAACGATTTTTCGCCGTAATAGCAAAGCACTATTTCACAATCCCGAAAATGCCACTCTTACCGCGAGGCAACGCTGGGAGATATGCGAAAAGATAATGGGGGTAGAGACGCCATTTTGAGATTCCCGCACCAAATGTTGCGACGTCATATTTCGAAGGGGTCTACTCCGTCCTATGTAGCTTTAGTTGATAAAATGAAGTACATTGCCATCCAGGGATGTCTTAAGCCTAGCATACAAAGTTTCGGAAAATTTTATTGAGCCAGTGTCGCGAAAATACGAGAAACACATTTTAAAATTTTTGACGTTGCACATAGATATTGTGGTGCAATATTTTGAAAATGAAAGTTCGTCCTTCATTTTCTTCGCTGATAATGAACCTATGACAGTGAAACTTGTAGCATGGAGTTCATAGAGTGCATTTCGTCAATCTAAATCAAGTCATTGTTTCTCTTTAGTGTCCCTTTAAGGGTCCCCTGTTGAGATTCGTAAAGGAAGTTTTGCGTGTTACTGGACGCTGTTGGGGCCGTGTGACACGTTGTAATCTAGATCCCCAAATGTCCGTCGAGCAGGGCCTATTTGCACGCCGACGGATGCTGCTGCTGACGACGGGGCCCCATCTCTACTACGTGGACCCCCAAGCAATGGTGTTGAAAGGAGAGATACCCTGGTCCGCCGAGCTGAGGCCTGAGCCCAAGAACTTCAAGACTTTCTTCGTACACACGGTGAGCGTGCGTGCTTTTTACTTGGCCTTTTTCTTTTGGTTTACTTGAGGGGAACCTGAAATCATTTCTCCAGTTTTCCCAGAAACCCGCAAATATAGTAAAGTTGTTTTTTGAAATCATTGGAAGTTTTCAGTTTTTAGGTAGACTTTTTAAAGTTACCGTGTTACTCAAACGCATGCTTTAGCACTGGTTTAACTTTGCATAAGTAAACCTTTATGTACGAACGTTAACATATAGTCTTATGTTTGTGGACACTGCTAAATGATAATAATAAGTGCATTTGAACTATACCGTATTTACTCGCGTAATGAACCCACCTTTTTTTTCAGAAATGCTGACGCCAATTTAGGATGAAGGTTCATTATGTGGGAGCAAAAAAGTCACTGGAGTCATAACAGCGAAAATTTCGGGTGACGTATTTGTTGTTTTTGACCCGTGAAATGCCCGACAAAATTTTTTTGTAGCCTGAAGCTCTTTTTGTTTCGTCCCGTAATGAAAGTGCATGGATCGACGCCGCCGTGGCGTCCAGCCGCGCGGTTTCGATGCTCAAGCACATGCTTTTAGTAACCAGTCGTGTAGCCAGCATACCGGCCGATCGTGCCCTACGCAGCAGGTGTTCCAACTAAGTTCACAACGACAAACCCAATAACGAAAACGCAGCGTCCTATGGCAGCGCACGAACGTTGTATTAGATGTTGCGGGTGCACAACGCGCTGTCGGCGCGGTGGGTGCGGTTGCGCTTTGCATGGGTCCGAGATGGCGAGCGCGCGGCGTGCTTCATGATGCGGCGCGAGCGCCATTTTAACCATCAGGCAGGCTTTAAAAAAGTCCATGATTCTGCGTTGCCTCTTACTACGCTTGGAAGCCATTTGGTTCACCCATATTTGCACCAAAGTGACATCGTCACCGTAAATGCTCGACAAAAGCGTCACCGCGGTGGCGATCTTCGTCGCCGACGGCTGCGGGCGATGGTCGTCATGATCCGATGCGCTCTTCAGCTGCCGCACATTTTGGTGAAGAATTTCTTTGTCTGTGGGCTCCGCGCACAAAATGCCTGAAGCAATGTGCAATGGTGTCTGCTTTCAGCCCCTTCCAAGCTTCGTCCAACATGTGGATGGCAGCCAGAATGTCGACCTTGTAGGCCTTCCCATTGTCGAGGCACAAGACGGTGCGGCTGAGCAGGCGGGCACGGTAGTGTGCCTTGATGTTTCGGATCACGTCTTGTATTATTGGCTGGAGCACGCTTGTGGTGTTAGGCGGCCCAAAAATTTCAGCCTAATGGCCTCAAGGTTCGGCACGCTACCGTGCGCGCCACTGTCAACAAAAAATATGACTTTCCTGCCTTGCCGCGCAAACTTGCGGTAAAGTTTGCGTAGGTATTTTTCAAATAAAGACTGCGTGATCCACGCCTTGGAGTTACTGTCGTAGTCCACAGGGAAGGTCTTCACCGCCTTAAAGGGCCCCTAAACCACCCAGCGGTCGAAATGTAGTTGAAGTGAGGAAGTTGTTCCCGAGTTTACAATGAACACATAGCCGTGAGAGTTTTTCGAAACGGTGCCGTAATAGCGGAGGTACTCGCGTTTGATGATCAAAATGCGGCGATCAATTCTTTCCCCATTTCCTACGCTACCCTTTTCCAAAACCACTTGGCTTCTCCTCGCTCAGTCAGCTGAGCGCCCCTCCTCATCTCGCGTAGCATACGTCACCGCTGACGCGTTATCAAGACAGTGTCTACTTCCGGTTGCCGCGATCTGCCACTCCGACGACCCAGCTCGCCGTCAAATAAGTTGTGTGTGTCATCTGAGTGCACTGATCGTTGACTAACCGCTGTTGCTGTCGTGCCGGCCTGTGCCCCTATGAATAGTGCCGGTATGGACCCTGTGTTGCGTTACGGGCTGCACATGCCGATTCGCAAGCGGCAACACGACGAAGATCAGCAAGGTGCGCGCAAACAGCTGTTTGCAGATTGACCGGAAGTCATCGATTGTCATTCGGCCAATCGCATGCATCGAAAGTGGTAACGTCATTGAGTTTCACTGGTGATGTCACACGTCAGTGGCAGGAGTGGCAGGGACCGAAAAGGAGAAGCTATCGGGTTTTTTTTTTTTTTTTTTTTCGAAATTGTTGCGCGCTCGCTATCTGTAGCGCTGCAGCGTGTGGCATCATTGATCGCGACGACATTCTGCACGCGATGCGCTTGTTCACTTGAAATGTTTGGGAAAATATCGGTGGGGGTTTAAGGGCCAAATACAAAAAGAGGCAGTTTTTCTGTACCGGTGGCGTTGGCACCTACCATTACTGGTAAGCGCTCTTTGCTACGCTTCTCGCTGGAGAACGATTTTTCTGAAAATGATAACATACGGTCCAAGAGCATCTCAGAGAACGGTCTTGTCTCATCGCAGTTGAAGATGTCCGAAGGAGCGTATTCTTTAAGGGGAGAGCGGGTCTTTGAGACCGAAAATCGCCTAAAAATTCGATTTTTTAAAAATGCTATATCTGGATTCTCCCGCTATCGCTGCATAATCTCTCCAATTTTCACGCGTCCTAGATAGGTAATTTCGCCATTAGAGTAGTTTATGCGACGTTAGTGAGCTGAATTTTTGGCAATGAACACATGAAAAATGGGCTTTTTCAGCGCCGCGGTGTTGCTGTTCTACGCTTGCTACAGCAGCCGTCTTGGTCGCATTTGAAAGAGCCGCCCTTTTTCTTTCATATCCCGCCGCGCTTGTTTTCGTCCACTCGGTATGCTCGCCGTGAATCCGTGTAAAAAAAATCCCCGTCGCGTGAGCCTATTGGTACGGGGAGCACACGAGACTAAATCGCGCCTTCCAATTCACCGGGCCTCCCGAGCTGTCTGCTGCGTGCGGCAGCGGAGCGCACGCGAAGCGGCGAGTGTATGTCACTTTGTACTCGTCGGCTTCCTGAACTTGCGTGAGCTATCGAGAAATTATAGCAAGCATCTCTGTATAGTCTCTACATTCAGCAGTATACTGATACGGTGCTGAACGAGCTCGACGAAGCCGCCGGGACAGTGCGGTAGGCCTACGCTTTTGGCCGCATTTACCCGAGTTGTTTGCTGCGTGCGACAGTAGGGCGCACGTGAAGCGGCGAGTGTATCTCGCTCACTTGTCATTGCTCTCGTCGGCTTCCTGAACCCGCACGAGCTAGCGAGCAATTGGAGCAAGCATTTCTCAAGTCTGCACATTCAGGCACGCCGCCGAACCAGCCCGACGAAGCGCGCCGCAGCCACCGGGCCAGTGCGTTAGGCCTACGCTCTCAGCCACGTTTTGAACCTGGCTTGAACCTTTCATCATGCCGAAGCCGTATCGCAAGTTCTGCACCACTCACAAGTTTGGAAAAAAGCGCAAGAAATCTATGGCACAAAGAGATAATGGCGCAATTATATTCGACGCGCATCTAGTAGAGGACGGCACGGCGACGGAACACGATCCGTCGGATGAAACGCCGACATCTCCGCCTGTTTCCCCGGCCCCCTTGGACGACGTCGGCGATAGGCAGCACATAAGGAAAGACACAACCGTTTTGACGAGCACCGATCGTGCACAACAGCAGAAAGTGAGTGCTGATAAATTCAGCAGCTTATTGGCAACTTTGGCAAGCGAGCGCAAGCTGCGAACACTCGCGGCAGCGCGCGAGGACTCGGACCCGTTGGCAGCTACCTACCGAATCGTCGACTTATCCGCGATAAACAAGCTTCTTGAAAGAACGGCTAAATCCCGGACATGCAGTGGGACATTTCTATTGAAAAAAGTGAGCGTGAATATGGACTTGCGATGAAGCTGATTTCAGAGTGCTGCAACTGTGGACTTGTTGACAGTGAGTGGAGCTCTGGGAGGTACCCAGTCAGGCTAAATGCACTGCATTTGAAGTCAATATCCGTGGGTCTCGTGCCGTGCAAAGCACAGGGCAGGGCTAAACGACATCTTCTCTGTAATGGGAATTTCTCACAGGGGACTTCACCACAAAAGCTATCAGAGCCATTTGAAATATAAACTGAATCCTGTGGCAACAAGAACTGCAGACAAGGTCTTCTCCGATTGCACCATGTCAGAGAAAACATTACATTAAGATCTGTGCTTTGAAAACCCAGGTAATGTGGCCATCTGTTATGATGGCACATGGATGACCAGAGGCCGTCTGTCGCACATTGGTGTGGGTGTCGTTATAGAGCTGTTTTCTGGGTATGTTTTAGACTATGTTGTCCTGTCAAATTTTTGTGCCGGCTGCAAGCACACACCACCAAAAGAGCTCCCTAAGTACTTGGTTTGGGAGTCATCGCACATCTGCCAGAAAAATACACAGTGCAAATCAGGGCACATGGAAGTGGAGGCAGCAGTCGCTCTCTTTGTGCGCTCAATTTCCCGTCACGGCTTGTGGTACACAGTGATGCTGTGTGATGGGGACAGTAGGTCCTTCCATGCTGTTGAAGACTCGACAGTTTATGGTTTCATACAGGTTCAAAAGAAGGACTGTATGAACCATGTCCAAAAATGAATGGGTACTGCACTACGCAATCTTGTTCAAAAGCATAAAGGTTCTGGTGAAACACTAAATGGAAGAGGCCGCTTTACAGGTGATGTCATAGAGAAATTATCGAGATACTATGGCTGGGCTCTGAAGTGCAATGTTGGTGACGTAGATGCAATGCACCGGGCAGCCATGGCCGCATATTATCATGTGACATCGACTGATGAGAGGTCCAACCACACCTTGTGCCCAAGTGGCAGTGGCTCATGGTGCAAGCAGAATGCTGCTGCTGCAAGGGGAGAACTGCTGCCAAGACACGCCTATAACTTCCCACAAAATGTCCGTGATGCACTACTTCCAGTCTACGAGCGACTTTGTGACAAGGAGCTGCTAAAACGCTGGTATAGAGGCAAGACACAAAATGCAAACGAGGCACTCCATTCTGTCATATGGTCTCTAATGCCTAAAGAGAAGCCTGCTTCACTCATAGCTGTTGAGACCACAGTTTCTAAGGCCGTGA